GGCAGACATGGGACTATATAGCATTTGATGTTTGCCCTTCAAGTTTTCAATCTTGCTTCAAATGGATTCTGCCTCACTCTTTCACAATCCTTCTCATCTGAAATAAGAGTGTTTCACAAATACACTTGCATATTGGATGCATACAACTTGTTTTTGAATTTTAAAGTTCATATATTAAAAAATTTGCCACAGTCTGAAAAAACTTTGAGACTTCAGCTTTTGAGCACTGATAGAATTGGTAAGACACAAAGACTCGTAAATATGGGCTAGTGAATTCTGATGCATTCTGCATTGTGAGGTGGACTTGGGTCGTTGTTGCCCAGGGAGGCAGTTCAGATGTTGAGTGTCCTAACAAAACTCATGCATTGAGAACTAGGCCCTAACAAGAAGGGATCTGAAGTGGGCCTTTGAGAGGTCATTAAGCCATTAGCCCAAGTCATTGAATTAACAATGTCACAGGTTTGGGGAGAGAGGCTGCTTCATAAAAATGACCTTTCTTTTTGCTTCCTTGATGTCATATCTATCACTACATCGTTCTGCCTTAACAAATGCCTCCCTAAGTACCCATGAATGGCAAACCACAAAACGTGGCTCAAAATAAACCCTTCCATTTTTTTTAGTTGATTTTCTCCTTATATTTTGTCATAAGGCTTGGCTGTCATAAAACGTGCTCCATATATTGATTTTGAACTCAAAGATCTTCATGGCTCTGTCTTCTGAGTGCTGGGATTACAGGCATGTACTACCATGCCTGGACTTAAGCTTTTGTCTACTTGGAACTTGCTCTGTATTAGACTAGCCTAGAAAAAAGAGGTCTGTTTGCCTCTGTCTCCTGGGATTAAAGGTGTGTACCACCATGCCTGGACCTAAGCTTTTTGTGTTCCTCAAGATCCAGATCATAAGTCTGTGTCCTCCATTTCTGGATTGTAGTCATTCCAGATTAAAAGTTCAAATGAAAACAATAATTAAGGGGCTGGAGAGATGGATCAGCGGTTAAGAGCACTGACTGTTCTTCCAGAGGTCCTGAGTTCAATTCCCAGCAACCACATGGTGGCTCACAACCATCTGTAATGGGATCCAATGCCCTCTTTTGGTGTGTCTGAAGATAGCAACAGTGTACTCATATACAAAAAAATAAATAAATCTTGTTTAAAAAAAGAAAAGGAAACAATAAATAATAATAACACCTAATATGATATAACTATTCCTTGTTCAATGACAAACACATAAACAACAGGCTGAGTGGGATCTTGCCCCAAGTTTTACCACTCCCTTATTTACATTATCCTTGAACACAAAATTCAACTTCATTGTACTTTCTACTTGAACCACACATTTTTTACTTTTTCTTTCAAAGCTTGCTATGCTTGATCAAAATGTTCTTCATGAAAGTAAACCAGAGGACAAGGTCTATGTTGGGCATTTCTGAGACTTTCTTTGTCGACAGAATTAATCTAAATTTCTTCACTTTAGTCTCAGGTAGATTCTTCAGAAAAGGGCAAAAAGCAGCAACATTCTTCACCAAAACATCAAGAACAGTCTCTAGAGTTCAAATCATCCTCAGCACCAACGACAAGGAGAGCCCATTCAGTCCCACTTAAAGCATTCCATGAGCTTCCAAATCCAAAGTCTCCAAATCCACATTTGGCCAAACAAAAACATGGTCAAATCTATCACAGCAACACTCTAATCTCTGATACCAACTTCTGTCTTAGTTGGGGTTTCCATTGCTGTGGAGAGACAGGATGACCAAGGCACCTCTTATAAAGGATGCCATTTAACTGGGGCTGACTTACTGGTTGAATATGCTTGATTATTATAGGTTAAATAGGCAGTGGCACTATTAGAAGGTGAGTTTTTGTTGGAGTAGGTGTGGCCTTATTCGAGGAAATGTGTCACTGTGGTGGTGGGCTTTGAGATGCTCCTCCTAGCTGCCTGAAAGATAGTATTCTTCTGTTTGCCTTCAGAACAAGATATAGAACTCTCAGCTCCTTCTCCAACACCGTGTCTGCCTAGTCACTGCCATGTTTCTCACCTTGATAATAATGGACTGAACATCTGAACCTGAAAGCCAGCCCAATTAAGTACTATCCTTTATAAGAGTTGTCTTGGTCATGTTGTCTCTTCACAGCAATGGACACCTGGCTAAACTATTCCTTCCTTTCTTTAGTGTGCAAAGATTCATTATTGTTATTCTTAGATAAATCTTAGATAAAGAATATGTATATTCTTTAAACATACTGGCATATATTAAATTATACACACACACACACACACACACACACACACACACTTGAAGTACATTTAAGATCTGAAATATGTTGTTCTGCTGTTCCTGGGCCTCAAGATTATATCAGTCTTACAATGCATTTAATATTTAATGTATATAAATAGATCTCTCATATTATTTTAAAAGTTTACATATTTAAATAGTTTGTCCAAGATACAAAGAAGATACTTAACTAGTGAACAGAAAATATCCACGTAAAGAACATCCCAGTGGGATGAAGAGATGGCTCAGCGGTTAAGAGCAGTGACTACTCTTCCAGAGGTCCTGAGTTCAATTCCGAGCAACCACATGGTGGCTCACAACCATATGTAATGGGATCTGATGTCCTCTTCTGGTGTGTCTGAAGAGAGCCACAATGTATTCATATGCATTAAATAAATAAATATTAAAAAAAGAAGAAGAAGAAGAAGAAGAACATCCCTGCACTTGCTGGCATAGAGTTTATGGCAGAAGAACATACCATGGATCTCATTATTGTCTTTACTATATAAGAAACTAACTCTCGCAGCACGAGCCCTAAATGTAAGCTAACCTTTTGAAAATCACCCCATTAGTGTAGCAGTATGGATTTTGAAATTTAAAAAAAAAGTGCTAAGGAAAGACAAGAATAAACTCATAACAAAAGAGAGTTAGGAAAGAACAGAGCAGAGTACAAAACCATATAGAAAAGATGGGTCAATAATATACAGAGAAGACTGCTGAACCCAAAAGGGAAGTCGGGATAAGGTCAAACGAGCCTCCCCAAAATAGATATCCTCCTCTTCCCGTTTCCATTTACATCACAAGCTCTCATGAGCGATTAGCAATAAATGCAAGTTTGTCATGTGTATATTTCTTACTTTTTTGTTTTTGTGGGTTTTATTTATACAAATACATTTGCATAAATAACTTTATTGTTAAATGAAGCATACGTAAGTCAGGCAGGGCAGCACGTGCAAGTGATGCCATCACTTAGAAGGTCAAGGCAGAAGATAGCCTAAATGCAAGTCAGAACTACAGATCAGGTTTCTGTTGGGGGTGTTGTTTGGTTTTGTTCATGCATTCTCTCAAAACATAACTGTTCTGGAAAGGTATCCCTTAGTATAGCATATAATAAGGACCGCATAATCAATCATATGTGAGGTGTTTAAAATTCTAATTGTATCTCACATTTCAATTCTTCTGGAGCTAGGAGTTTGGGGATGTAGTTCACTAGCTTACCATGCACCAAGCTCCAGATCCAATTTTTAGTACCACAATGAAACCACATGACAAGCAAGACCCCAAAACACAAAGTCAAAATTTTAGGGAAGAGAAATACCTCATAGGTGTCTGTTTCTTTATCAATAAACCAGAGATAGTTTTTAATCCAGGTAACAAGAAAGGATATGGCTATTATCGGGCCAAATATTCCTTCTGTAATGTCCTTGTAGAATGACCTTGACTAGTCTCTGTGTGGCCAGGCTGCCACTGCTGTCTCTTGCACTTTTCCCAAACACCAGCTTGCTTTGTCTTTTGTTGTTGTTTTGCTTTTGTTTGTTTTATTTTGCTCTGCTTTGTTTTGAGACAGGGTTTCTCTGTGTAGCTGGGCTGTTCTGGAACTACAGACCAGGCTGGCCTTGAACTCAGAGATTTGCTTACCTCTGCTAAGCAGCTGGGATCAAAGGCATGTGCCTGACACCCTGCTGCTGTCTGAAAACAGTCGACTGTCCTAATGAACCAGATAGATCCTGTGCAAACACACAGTCACAGTCAGGTGTAGCTTTGTTATGGGGGCTTGACTGTTGATGTTTTGTAACTGTAACTTGTTTGTCTTCAACATAAAACAAACAAGTTACAGTCTGGTCTTTAAGTTAGTTATAATTTCAAAAAATACCTGGCTCTCCTTATTACTTAATAAAAATTTGGAATCCTAGCAAACTCCATCCTTGAAAGGTTTCTTTGGTGCTCTTGGTAGCAGCCTAACTGTTATTTGTTATGCAGTTATTGCTCTCTTACCCGTTTCTGGGACGCCAAAAGAGCAGAAGAAAGCACTGTTAATGACGAACATATTTAAAATTTTGAAAACAATTGTGTTGACAGTTAAAACGTACCAAACCTTTGTTATTCTTTATATGTTCCTAAGAGAAAAGTCGATATGCTCCCTGGAATCTGGGAATGGAAGAGGAAAAAAAAAATCAAGAAACACAAAAATAAGGTGCAAGGAATTCGTGCCACCACCTCAGATCATAACCAGTCAAAATTCTCAGAACAAAACGATCCTCGCTACAAGATAATACCCAACAGCAACTCCTTACGCCAAGGTTAGCGAATGATAAGTAAAATCTCAGCCAGCAATCCTCAGATAGTTTGTCAATGTGAGACAAGCCAATCGAGTACAAAGTCCAGAAATTGCAAAAGGAAGGTTTTAACTGTAAGAGAGGCTGGGACCAGAGGGCACCAAGGGTTGGCTTAGTTTTCCTACCAATGTTTAGAACTATGCTCATCCAATTCCTGTGACACTTAGTGTCACCCAGGTTCTTGCATCAGTCCAGTGGACAATGACTCTCAAAGCAAGGTAAGCTTTGATCTTGTCCCATCTTTACTCAGTCCTCCAGACCCAGGCTGCCGCCACTCTCTGAGCCGCTGGGGGACTTACTGGAAACTTAGGAAGCAACAAGCAGCCTAGGAGACAATCCTTCCAGCCTGGGCACGTAGGGACGGGAGAAGGCTGAAGATACGGATTACTTACAGTTTGTCTCTGAGACAGGGAGCACCAGGGCGAGGCAGGCCAGTAACACCCGAAAGCGTGAGCTCAGGACCCTCATTGCTGAGCGGGCGGGCGGAGGTCAGGGCTAGCGCAGCGGGAACCGTGCCTGCGCTCGGCCGAGGGGAGCTGCGAGCCCGGGCTCTGCTCTCCCAGCTCTGCTGTGGCCCAGCCCGAGCGCGGGCGGAGCAGCCAGGGCGGAGGGGACCGCCCGCTCCCAGCCCCCAGCCCGGGAGGGGAAGCGGTGACTGGGACATTTCCTGGAAGCTCTTCACAGCTGGGGGGCGGGAGGGGGAGGGCTGAGAGAGGGAGGTCGGAGGCCTAGGGAAGCTTATCAGAGGTCCTTTGTCACTGTCCCCAGCCCTGTATTTACTTCGTTTTTTTTAGAAATTGAAGTTTTCAAAGGGTGAAGAATCTCT